TTTTAGGTGCCTGTTCTTTTATAGTAATGTTCTGAGCTACAAGTGTTGCAACTTTTTTTTGATGGACAATTTCCAAGATTAAAATATGGATTAACTTTCCTTTTCCATTGGTGTCAGGTTTTGATTTGATGCTGCCTGATGACTTCACTGACATTCTTTTGCCAAGCATCCTGCCAGAAGACAGTAGTGACTACAAGTTTCTGGACTCTACAATTTGTAAGTTACTTCTGAAGCTTTTTTTCTTTTTATAAAGAATGTTCCCAACTGAATTCTCAGCCTCTATTGTCTTCAGTTCAGTATTACATGCATATTACTGGCTGCACTGAACTCTGAGCTAATGTAAATGGGAATCTTTTGTCCTGGGACTTCATGGTGTGGTGCCAGCAGTTTGTATAAAGGAGAGACCAAGCCCTTTGGTCACTTAAAGGAGCATAATGTGTGGTTCTTGTAGAACAAAGGTTCATGGTGCTGGAGGAAATATGAGCTGAGGAAGAGATGGAGCTTATAGTTCCTAATTATTACACAAACAAAATAATGACTATAAGCCTGGAAGCCTTTTGGGCACACTGGCTTTCTTCTGCTTTTCTGACATTAGTGATCAGAAGTGAAATCTACTCATGAGCAAGTGATGAAAGTCTTGAGCTTTAAAAGCTCACTGAAGGTTGGGACGTTTGGAGGATGCAGAGAACCTTTGGCAGTTTTGAAGCTTAAATCCTGCCAGCTTTTCATAAAATGTGCTAGGGAGCACAGTCACAGTACTGCTGTCTTCAATATAAATTGATCAAGTCAAATTCATTTGCATTGGGTTGCCAGCAGGAGAGAGATTCATTTAGGAATGAGTGGCACCTTTTGCTAGAGATTTGCTTTTCTCCGGCAATAAAAATTAACCGCCAATTGAGAGCAAATGATGTTTGACCCCTCTCTTATCTGCCAACTGCTGTGTCATTGGCTGAATAAATGTGGAGGAATTTCCACACTTGCTTTTTAATCTTAAGACGAATGACTAAAAGTCACCTTTCCAAAAACATATATATTCTGCTGTTTGTGTAAGCAAGTTCCACCTTGACCAACTCTTGTGTTTTTGCTACTAGCCTGGAGCGAATTGGAGTCACCAGACCACTGGAAAACCTTGACTGGTTTCCCACCCAGTGACCCTGGGTATGAATCTGCACCCACCTCTCCATACAGCGTTGATGATTCCAATCCAGGTGAGTGTCCTGTGACAGAGTTCCAACACTAGTATATGGTAATCTGAGCCACCTACAAACACTAAGGTGCTCATGGTTGCTAGGTGGGCAAATGACTGATAACTAAAAAAACTAAACTCTGTACCTTCATTGAAAGCACTTTGCAGTACAGCAATCTCACCAGCCAAAAAAAGTCTAATTTACTGAACTTCTTTAATTTCGGATAAACTGCCAAAAGCCATTGCTTCACATACTAAACTTCTTTTTAAATGAATTGAGTTTGTGTACGTGCATGAATCAATATAGGAATTAACTTTGAATTGATTTGTTTCATTGCTTTGTTTTTGTTTTTGAAACTGGAGGTGGGCGGAAGTTGGCAAGAAGAGCTAATAACTTAGGCGAGTTGGCCTAGGGAAATTCCGACCACTTCAGCAATTAAGTGCTGGGTGAATGTCCATGGATACCCTTTGACGTCTTCAACGTGCCAACAGTTGGTGTCCCTGGTGAATTGGCATCTACTTGAGGGCCTCCACTCACCACTGTCCTGATTTACTCGCTGCCCTGTTGCAAGAGAAATGGTTGCCTCCCAACTGGGAAGTCAGGGCAACCTGGCTGTTGGTTGGGGAGTGGAAGTGTCTCCATTTCTCTCAATCAGGGACACGGATGGGGTGGCAAATGGGTGGTTTCTCAAGGCCACCCTCTTGTTTTACCTGATAGATCTGAAAGAAAATAGCCTTGTTGCGACAACCTAAAGCCTGGATGTCTAGGCTCCAGCCATGAACTAGCCCGCAGCTTCTAGTGGGGTGGGACTTCAGTAACTAGATTCCATTTGACAAGAAGCTCACTAGTCAGCTTTTAAGTGGCTGAATTGGAGTTTTCTCACTTGTGGGGGTAGAGAGTCAGTTGACCCAGAAGATTCCCAATTTCTACTCTTGGTGCATGGAGCACTAAATCCCAGCCAGAGTTCTCACCTTGAGTTCAAGCATTGGACTACGCCACCAAGATTCATCTGCCAGTCTGATTGTTGTTTAGTGTGGCCATTATCAGTCATGAAAATGGGGTGCTCTGTTGAATTTGGGGGTGTTAGGAACTGTGATTTTTAGAAAGAGGCTAAAAGCTGAGTTATTTCCATAATGCTTTATTTTTCTGGTTGTAACATTTAAAGACTGAATTGAATCTTCAGAGGATTCAAATCATTTAATTGAAAATGATCTTCACTTTAAAAGCTTTTTTTCTCTTAGCTAACAAAGCTGGACAGTTTAACTCTAATGTGCTATGTTATTGGTGTATTGCAGGATCCCAAGCTCCTAACTCTCCAGACTCCGGTGGAAGTGAATCAGATTTTGATCCCTCCATAACACATACTCAATATGTAACTCAAAATGGTAAACATTTCTGCTGTTTGCTTTCAGGAGAACAAATTAATACACTTATTTTTACATTTGCAGTTCACTTTCTTATCTTTGGGGAGAGGGGCAGAGTTGAGGGATTTGAAAAAAATATATAATTTTTCAATTGACTATTCAAACTGCTTTTCTTTCTAATGTACAACATCCCTAGTAGGAATAGTCTGGCAATAGTCTGTTTGAACACCCCACTCTCAGTGACTTACATGGATATTCGCTATTTCAAAACTTTTATTCTTGTTACAATTACTGTCAGGTGTCCTGTAAGGTTAATGACAGCCATAATCCTTTGGCTATGTTCACCAATGGAGTGTTGTCTAGTTTTGCTGAGCTCTGCAAAAATAAAGCTGACTTTCATCAGCTATTCTGAATTGGCCTTGAATCCAGATTCTAAAATACTCTGCACTAACCCACTACCCCAATAAATCATTATTAATGTAAATTTATATCACATTCATTGTTAAGTAGCCCTGACAAAGATGTTCAATGCTTAAGTTTTTGAGTAGTTGACCAATATCCTTTACAGATCCTTTATTTTTCTTATTAACCCATCATTCTTTTGAGATTGAGTCATTTAATTATTTTGATAATTAATCTGAAATGATCCTTTCAGTACTGCATTTGAAACCACTTTCCAAACAATTCTAACATATGTTTTGGTTTGACCAGTAGATAATTCAGTATTATGGGACTGATTTTATTTTATTTTTTCTTTTCTCTTTTCACTTCAGAAGGATTTCCTAAAACTTTAAATGGTGATTCCAATCCTCCGAAACGAGGCAGAGGAAGACCAAGAAAATTTGGCAAAGAAGAAAAGAACTTTGTAGAAGCCAAGAAAAACAAACATTGTAAGTGATTCCAAACTCAAAAATCTATTTCATCAAATTTGAGGCCTTCAAAAGAGAGGTCATAGAGTCATAGTCATATAGCATGGAAACAGACCTTTTGGTCCAACCAGTGCATGCTGAACCCAATCCCAAACTAAACTAGTCCCATCCAGCTGCTCCTGGCTCATATCCCTCCAAAGCTTTCCTACTCATGTACCTATCCAAATATCTTTATAAATGTAGGTGATTGTCTCTCTTCAGAGAGACAATTTTTCAAGGCTACAGAGAAAGGAGGGGAGAATGATTGCATCAGCAGAGTGCTGACAATGTCACAGCCAAATGGCTACTTTATACTCAAGCCATTCTCTGAAATAAAAGTACGTTAAATATCCCCATTCAAAGGCAGCCAATTTGAAATGGGATCTTTCATTAGATTCTCTTCAAATTAGTGAAATGTAGTTTCTTTGAATATTGATCTATTTCACCAGTGGACTCCAACCTAAGCAGCTATTCACCCCTATCAAAGCTGTACCTTAGTTATAAACCCACAGACACTGTCCCTTCTGTTATGTTTTTTTTTGATTTGCATCACATTTGTTCTTATCATTGTCTCACTTCATTGTCACCCGTAAACTAGATGAACTGGTTATTCTGTTTGCGTGACACAGCCGATGCAGAAGGGCATGTCTAATTGCAGCTAATGCCCTTCAAGATAATTCGGTGCACATAGTGACTGATAAATTTAGTTATTTTTTTGAGTGGAAATTGTTATATTGGTTAAGCTGATAGGACTTGAATCCTGTTCAAAAGCAAAACACTACCGGAGATAAGAGTAATCCAGATTCTGTGTAAGATTTACTTAGTATTTTCAACATTAGCTGTGCAGAGAAAAATATTGTTGTTTGAGGTCAATGACCTTCAATCTGACTTTGAGCCTCTATACTGTTTCAAATTGGAGGTGCTGTAACAAGATTTCATGTGGGGATGGAGATTTTTTTTTTGATGAAAAGACATGCATTTTGTTTTTGTCCATTGGTGACTAGATCAAACTGTTCGATATTCAATCTCCATTCTCAATACCGTAGAGAAATGGACTCCTTTCGGGATCTGTTTTAGATTTGTTGTGCCTGTAAATTTAACTCGTTTCTATTTTCAGCTCTGTATATTGTGTTTTACAGCCCCACGTGGCACTCACCTCTGGGAGTTTATCAGGGATATCCTCCTTCATCCAGAGATGAACAATGGCCTTTTGAAATGGGAAGACCGGTCAGAAGGAATCTTTAAGTTTCTAAAGTCTGAGGCTGTTGCACAACTTTGGGGTGAAAAGAAAAAGAACAGCAGCATGACCTATGAAAAGCTCAGCAGAGCCATGCGGTGAGTACTTTTCTCTGTTTAGCTTTGGTCTGGGTGTCACAGGCACCTATTGCATAGATTCAGTTTCCCTCCAGCATAGTGGCTACCTTGAAACACTTTTTCCTTCGTATGAAGAAGGCACTCTTGCAGTGTTATCAAGTAGAGAGTTCTGGATATTTCCTCAGTGGCCATGACAAAATGGTGAATATATATCCAATACCAGCATTACGCTACTTGGAGGGACTGTGATATCTCTCCTACTGCTTGCACCATTGTCCAACCACTATCTGTCATCTTGGTTGATGAATGATTTTGAGGAGATGAGATTTTGCAATGGAGCCCAAACCATACAGATCCGTAACAGGAGAGAATCCATTTTGATGGTAATTATATGGTATGCAATTTAATTATCAGTTTTAGTTTGACAGAAGATTTAAGGGCGAGGTAAAAATTCTGTTGCTGAGCAACATCCTTAATAGTTGTTAAGAGAAAAACAGGAATATAATCCACTCAAATTGTTCCCATTCTGTTACAGGTACTATTACAAACGCGAAATCCTGGAGCGAGTGGATGGGAGGAGGCTGGTCTACAAATTTGGAAAGAATTCGAGTGGTTGGAGAATTGGAGATGCATGATCAGACTTACTTTCTTCTGATATTAAAAAATTTGCTGACAGTACAGATGTTTGCTGGCAAACAAATTCCATCAGTTGGAGTGAGATGACCAAGCCTGCAATGGACTTACGACTTGCTCCATTTGGGGGATGTGCTCCATGGGCATTAAGTAATGAATTTTTGAGGAGATGGAAGCATTTTGTTTAATTTTTAATTCTCACATTTTATCAGACTCCAGCCTTTCAGGGCCAAAAGTGTGTGTCACAAAGGTGGCACTTGAAATAGTAAGCCTATATTTGGGCCAAAGTAGGTTATTAAACCAATTTTATACTGTTCTGGATATTCTACAAGCTATTTGATGAAACTCACGGCATGTACAGCAAATGTTTCAGATGCAGTGGGTGACTATGAACAACTCCAAGAAACAAATTACTCTGTTCTGGCATTGTTCGATACTTCAATGATGTGTACATACGGACAATGTGGCTGCATTGCATGACTTTGTTCTCTTGCTTATGCATGGAAGTGTGTTTTGCAATAAGGCTATCAATCTAAGTCTGTGTATAAATGTCTATTGATGTTCCTTCTTGGCCATTTGAAATGTTGGAAACTTATTCAGCTGGACTGGTGCAATTTCCACTGGAATGTGATTGTACATATGAGTTGCGAAGACAAGGGTTAAGTGCCCTAAATAGATTGAATAGATTTTGTAAGAAATTTTAAGTCTCTAAACATTATAATTATGGATCTGTATGTACTATATTTTCCTATGGAATACATTGATATTTTGCAAATAAAAACAAATTTTAAAATTCCAACCTGTCTGAATTGTCAACTTGAGTGATACATAGGTCAATGTATTATCGTGGGAATGTACATTAATTCTTCTGCACTGAGCAATGTTTCTGCTTGGAATGGGAATGCTGTTAGTGTTGCAAGTATGTTGCTCAATGCTCTGTGTCTCCAAGTTTCCCACTTAAGGAATAACCATGTTGGATGAAGAGAAACGAAACTTCGAATGATTTCTTAAATCGCCATTTCTCAGATGTAGTGGGTTAACAAGATTAATTTATGGATGACATTTTATTCAAATAAAGCTTTTAAAAAAAAATGCATGTCCACCAACTCATTCTTGTTTTAGGAATTAGTCTCGATACAAATGGTGGTAGGGATTAAAGGGGCAGTAATGTGCACCACATTATTGCAGGAAAAATGAGCTGTGAATCAAGGGCAATACCTCATTAGAATGATTTAATTGCGATCATCTGCCATAAGTGAAGTCAATAATGAGTATCAGCAGAGTCTTGATAGCTCAAACTAACCCAAGATAGTTGATACGGCCAACTTCATGTCAGTTTTGAGTTTAATATTGAAGTAGACCCCATGGAGACACCGATGTAAATGAAAGGTACAAATACATTAAGTAATGCGATTCCACTTTGAGCACAATAGGTACACCAGATTTCTTATCTGGTAATAACATGGATGCACGGATTACTATGAGACTAATGAATACTTATGAGGGGTTGCTAGGTTAACAATCTCCTCCAGGGAATCAGGTAATATAAACCAGGAGAAAGAAGCATAAATTGTTTACAACTGTCATCATAAACTCCTGTGTGATTTAGCCTTTGGACTGCCAGTAAATCTTGGCATGTTCAAAACTCCCTGGTTTGTGATGGAACAATAGCAATGTTATAGTATAATGAAGCCAATGAAGTACCTTTATTGCTGAAATACTTGCACTATTCATGGAGAGCTCTCCTTCTCAATCTCTCCCTTCACCTGAAGTGTTGTGACCCTCAGGTTAAACCACCACCAGTCAGCAAACAGCCCTACAGTCTGGTAGAACAATGGTGACTTTATCTTTACCTTTATGATTTACCTAATTAAACTATTTAAATAATATTAAATAGCAACAAAAATGGCGGCTTCTCCTGCCTTTTCTCTTTTTATCATTTTAATTTTGCTTTGATTTTTTTCTCTATCATCCATGTTTGAAGGATCATTTATGTCTCTTCCTCTATCTCCTAGGACTCATTGTCTACTGTAAAGTTGTGTTAACCAAAAACAAAAACCCTAGGTTTGGCTTTTACTCCAGATTCGGTTGCCTATAGACTGACACAGTTTAGATTTCAGACATGGCCAAGTCCCAGCTATTTCTTAATATCAAATGGATGACATAGACCACCTCCACCTGGTCTCAGAAGGTGCAGAAACTCGGCATTATTGCAGTAAAAGCAAAAGAGAACTTAAGCTAGAGAGTCAATTAGTTTCATATGAAATGCATTTTACTAGAATGGTGCTATGGATGAAGGATTCTGTTATGGTGACTGATTAGAGAAGATTATTCACTTTAAAGAAAGAGAAGGAAGAGTGTCACTAAGCAGAGGATATTGATTTATGGTGATAGGCAAAAATCCAAAAACTGAGATGAGGAGACGCTACCTTTTGCACAGTATATTGTTATGATCCAAATTGCACTGCCTTGTGGTAGCAAATTCAATTGTAATCTGCAAAAGAAAATTGGATAAAATTGAAAGATGGCCCAGTGACCTCACAGCACCAGAATCCAGGTTTGATTCCAACCTTGAGTAACTACCTGTGTGGGGTCTGCATATTCTCTCTGTGTCTCTGCAGTTTCCACCAGGTGATCCAGTTTCCTCCCGCAGCCTGAAGGTGCACAGGTTAGGTGGATTGGCCATGGGAAATAGTCCTGCAGTGTCCAGGGATGTGGAGGCTAGGTGGGATAATTAGCAAATACAGGGTTATGAGGATAGAGTAGGGTGTGTGTTGGAGGGTTGGTGCAGACTCTATGGGCCGAATGGCCTCTTTCCACACTGCAGCGATTCTATGAATTTGAAGAGCTTTAGGGAAAGAACAGGTGACTGGGACGATTTTAAAAACTCTTTCATAGCGCAAGCATGGACACAATGATCCAAATAGCCTCCTCCTCTGCCTAATTGCTCTATGATTCTCGATGTGTAACCAAAAAAGTGGCTAAATTCAGTTTTGGATCTGTAACATATCTCTCACATCATTGTGTAACACTTGAAATCTACAGCAATTGACCATTCATGACCATTGTAGGAGTAATACTTACAATATAACCGCTATACAGTTATTAAATCATTGCTAAAGCTTGATTATAGGGAAATAACATTCTCAATAGTTACTTTATTTTAATGACAGTGAAATAAAAGTTCATGAATGCATAAGCAACGGTGAAAACCATTAAACAATGAAACAAAATCTGTAAATGCAAGTAGTTTGTAACAAAAGCAGAAAACATCATAATGGTCTGAATCTGTGAAGAGGGAAGGCACCGTAATATTTTATGTGGAATCTTTCTTCAGAACTGAAAGTTGAGAGATAAATATAGTAGTAACATTGAATAAGAACAGGAAGCAGCAAAAAGGTAAGGGAGTGTGAGTAATGCCTTCAATGAATTGCAATCTGGTTCAATGAAGTGATGTTATTTCGAAGAAAGACCTGTTCACAGATGTTATGTCACAGCTCTGGAGTAGGCGAGACTTAAACCTGGCCCTCCTGACTCAGGGGTAAGGACATTACCACCCTGCTATAACAGTCTCTAATGCGAGGGTTTGTTAAATTAAAGCAAAGATCTTCAAAGTAAGACAATGAATGGTGTTCAAAATATCAAAGGAACATGCAAATGACAAAGATTATGAGGAAAGGCAGCCAACATAATCAAAAGCCCCTCCTATCCCAATTATAATCTCTTCCAATCTCTTCCGTTGGGCAGAAGTTACAAAAGCTTAAACACACGTACCAACAGATTCAAGAACAGCGTTTTCCCCATTGTAATTAGACTTCTGAATAGGCCTCTTAAATTTTAAAGTTAATGTTGGTCTCGCTCTCCGTGCACCTTCTCTGCAGCCGTAACATTGTATTCCTCGCTCTATTCTATTACCCTAATGCACTTTGTATGGTATGATCTGCCTGTACTGCACACAAAACAAAACCTTTCACTATACCTGGGACATGTGACGATAATTAATCAAATTCAAAAGGACACTTCATTTATAAAGTGCATTTCATGACATCAGGATGATCTAAAGCAGCTTTGAAAGTAACTTTTAAAATGTAGATGCAGATTTAACGTAATAAATGCTGCTCATTAAGTTTCCACTCATCCAAATCCAGAAACAGCAAATGTAATGAGCAGCTCATAGTCAAGAATTGCTTTTGGCCAAAAAACAAACGATAAATCTTATACTTTTCCTCCAATAATGACAGGGCATAGGTTTCAAGATGTAGTTAAAAATACAGCAACTCCAATAAATGATCCTATAGGAGAGGTGCACAGAAATATTTCATTTGTTATACTAGAGATGGAGATAATGCTGCAACTATAGACCAGAATCCTGTAATATTGTGGACATTTTTAACATTTTAATATTAAAAAGTTTCTTTTTCAAAAAAAGCTGACATAGCCAAAAAAACCCTGCAGATGTAAATTAAGTGGCCGTCTAGAGAGAGAGAGACCCACAAAATGTTACAGTTGCAATGCAAAGGTAACTTCAAGCAACAGCCTTTCAAATAGTGAGAAGAATAAATCAAAACAAATTAGATTGTAATCTCTTATGACTATAAAAAGAATGAGGGGCTGAGACTCCCTGCTCAACAGCAAACAACTCGTGGTGAATTATGTGCCAAACTGCAGATATATTTTGTGTTTGTTTTTGAAGAATACAAAATGATAGGGGTTAAAAAGGCAGCTTCAACGCTAACGGAGTGGATGAGTGGGAGTGAACATTCTGGGTTGAGCAGACTGGATTCAAGCATTAGTGTACTAATAAGCTCACAGATGGAGAACTATCTCCTTCTTACCCCTGTATTGCAGATAAAGGGATTCTCTCACTCACCAACTTAGCAGCCAGACAAAAGGAAACAGAACAACAAAAAGATTCTCTCTAACGTGGAATTCTGGAGTTCAATTATGTTCGCAAGGAATCAGAAGTCTTAACCAATCTGTAAAACTAAGGATTGTGAAACTGACAGTTCAGTAACCTCCACTGTAATGGCTGCAACATTTAATTTTCCTCCCATGAAACAATTCATAGACTGATGTCTATACATTTTTTAAAAATTTTCTTGCATTTAGTAATTAGTAAACTCATTCTTTGTTAATTCAAGAAAGCCTGGTTAAATTAGCACCTTTTAAAACACAAATTCATTTGGATCTGGGAAAAATATCCACAAGAGAAAGATGTGTTGTTAAGTTAATGTAGGGTGTGGGTGAATAAAGAAGGGGAACTAAGTTATCCCTACTCACCTGGGAGTTTAACAATTTGGGCGGATATGCCATCTGGAACTGTAACAAACTGGGGAACTTTGCCCAGGATTTGGGTTGACAGTATTGAATGTTATTGGTGATACTGGGGATATGGAGTCAGACACATAGATCAGGGTCCAGTAGGCTACCAATTGGTTCAACTTGACACAGTAGCCAGAGAGAGTGGTGGAATCCATGGGAAAGTGCTTTGCAGTGGACACTGAAGACAATAAGGTCAGTCTTCCCGTTGCTCACCATGCACCATATGTCAGCCAAGCAAGGAAACAAATCAGAGGAGATGGAAATATCACAACAATGGTGATGAGATGGGTGTTTTCAGCATACTCCTGAAAGCTGATGTGTTTTCATACAACATTGCGGGTAAAGGAGAATTAGGAGGGAGTGCAGAGTAGAGCCGTGGGCATGGCAGAGATTATGGTGCAGGAGTTGAAAGAGAGGTCATTGCATGTAATTTGTTCACTGTGACCAGATAGATAAGAATAGAACCAGGTGTGTGCA